CCCGCCGTGTTGTATGTTTGCATACAGCACTGCCCCCTGAGAAGGGTGTTCCTCCATGTATTGTAACCACCGGTCTGTGTCCTGGCCCCTTGAGGGGTGGGAGGGCGCGTGTGTTGTGTTAACCTGTGGAACTCCCTGCCAGGGGAGGCTGTAAGGCTTTGGGCTAATCAATGGTGTTTGACACGGACCAAGATGAATCCCCACACAGTGCCTGGGAGCACATCTGGCAGACGTCGTCTGGGCTCTCAGATCCCCATCACGTGGCTGTCTCCTGGACGGAACCAGGGGTGACTGGGGAGTGTACCATCCTTGGAGCGAAACTCAGGTGGCCCTAGGGCTGGCCCGAGCGCTTCCTCTCTCCCCCTCCTGCTATCCCTCACATACAGTAGCCCAGGGATGTATGTGGCTACAGTGGGGACTTCCCTCGGATGGCCAGCCAAGGCACCGGGAGCAGACGAGGGGCTCAGTGGGGGGCCACACTCACAGGGCTGTGACACTGCAGTTTTCCCACCAGCAGCTGGCTGTGCCTCATAGCGAGGCATGGAACAGTGTGCCGTTCTGCCCAGCCAAGGCACCGGGAGCAGACGAGGGGCTCAGTGGGGGCCACACTCACAGGGCTGTGACGCTGCAGTTTTCCCACCAGCAGCTGGCTGTGCCTCATAGCGAGGCATGGAACAGTGTGCCGTTCTGTGTGCTGCACCTTTGCAGAGCTGTGGGCTGTGACCTGAGCCCCTGGGGCTCTGGCTGGTTCCAGCCGGCATCCACCCTTCCCCCCTGGTCCGGACGTGAGTGAGCAGCACGGTCCCAGGCATGCCCTGGAGCTGCCTGCCACGGCCACATGCCGCTCAGTCACCAGGCTGCATGTGGCTGCACATGCTGCATACTGCTAATGCTACACAGCGTGCAGTTCACGCTGCCTAAGTGATGCTCCCTCCCTCTCCTGCCCCCCCGGGCGCCTGGCTCCCCCCAGCCCTTGTAAGCGCAAAGTGCAACACTCACCACTGGATCCTTCCCCGGCCTCCGAGGATGCACGGGAGAGTCAGGGCTGCTGGAGACGACCTCGAGCTGCAGGTCGGGCTGAAATGCGGTCGCGGCCCACCCATAAGACTGGCTCTGTCAGCGGCCCCTTGAAAATGGCAGCCCTGGATGCCCACCCAGCTCGCCCACTCCTATGACCGGCTCTGCATACATCTTCAGGAACAGAGGCCTGTTCAGTG